AACCCTAAAATGGCCGGGGGCGGAATCTGCCCCCCTCACTTTTTGGCTGGTCTCAACTCGAGACCAGCCAAAATATCGATACCAAGACCGAGACCACAGCTCCCGAGACCGAGACCGAGACCGGCAAAAAGTGGTCTCGAGACCGAGACTGAGATCGAGACCAGTCTTGAGACCTACAACACTGCTACCTACATACCAAGTTTCAACCCAATCGGACTTACAGTAATAGATATAGGGTCTTAAAGTTTGCACATTTGTGATGACGTCACTTGACCCATGGTGACGTCACGATGACGTCACTCTTCGGGACACAACTATGCTATAAGGACTATGCCTATGCTGACTTTGAATGATGTACGACAAAGATTAATGCCAAAAGTGGCATTGAGAAAAAACGTGTACAAAGTCTATGGGGTTTAGGCGACAAAAAGAAGAAGAAGAAGAAAGAACAATCTTAACAAATAGAAAGGCTTTTCCACTACCGGTACTATGCGGGGAAAGCCAATCAGAAAGAAAAATCTTAACAGAAATAAAGGCTTTTCCGCAACTATTCGGAAAAGCCAAAAAAAATTGTGGAAAAGCCAAAAAAAAAAAACCAGAATAGGAAACTAGATTTGAAACGTTTGTGGAAAAGCCCAAAAAAATAAAAATAAAAAAAATAGGAAATAGATTTGAAACATTTTTCTGTTGTCCGGGGGGACATAGCACATCCTTCTGAAAAAAATAACATATTTAGCGTTCCGCCTTTTTAAAAAATAGGAAGTGGGAGGCCTCTTTTTCCCCCCTCCAAAATGGCCGCCCGACCGGGCAATTTTTCAAGATGGCACCAGGTTGTTTTTTTTAAATGGCCACCATTGGACTCAGGAAATTACATAACAGCTTTATATGGTCTAGTTGCAACAGATGAAGAGGACAAAATGATGTCACTGTTGAAATTTTTTTATTTTTTGGGTTAAAAAAAACCATAAATAAACAAGTCAGGTGTGTTTACAAACACAAATGCCCCGCAACCGTGACTGTTCCCATGACATAACACCACTCTTTTAACATCAACTTACATGTACCTTGGTCACATGGAACGTTCATTGACAGCATTAGTGTCTTCTGTACGTTTCATATGAATTAATCCCTAATCCCTATGATCTCAGAATAAATACAAGATTTCTATTGTTTTAGCCACTGTGACCCTTGACCTTTCGACCCCCAATGCGATAGGCCTATTTGGATTACCAAGAACAATCCACAAACCAAATTTGAAGTTCATATGTAAAGTATATCTCAAGTTATCACGCTGACAAAATTTCTTTTGTTTTAGCCACTGTGACCTTGACCCTTTACCTTTTGGCCCCAAATGCAATAGGCTTCTTAGGATTGCCAAGGACAATCCACAAACCAAATTTGAAGTTCATATGTAAAGTATTTCTCAAGTTATCGCGCTGACAAAATTTCTTTTGTTTTAGTCAGTGACCTTGACCCTTGACCTTTCGGCCCCAAATCCAATAGGTTTCTTAGGATTACCAAGAACAATACACAAACCAAATTTGAACTTCATATGTTAAGTATTTCTCAAGTTATCGCGCTGACAAGATTTGTCCGGACACACACACACACACCCACACATACACCCCCACCCACCCACGGAAGGACAAGGCAGAAACAGTATGCCCCTTCCGCTTTGCCGCGGGGCATAAAAAGAACACTGATGATGATGTCATTGGGTGTCAAATTACAGGCGATTTTCGCTGAAAAAATGACCATCTTCTTTCACCTGTAACGAAATAATCGATCGTGTTCATAGTATACACTATAATCAGATGGACCATTAATTGATAAACATTTTTTTGTGTGTACGTGAACTCAATTGACATTTACTTCTGGGTCTACCGGAAGGTCAAAGTTAGGTGAATTTAAGATACAGAAAGAAGCCTCAAAATCAAAACGAACCACATTTCTTCCTTAAATGGTTCACGTGATGACGATAAAACCTAGATGGAACTTGAACCCTGGTCAGAAGATGTGATAAAAATTGTGACGTCATCTGGATGTCATCGAGTAACAAATTACAAGCGGGTTAACATCAAAATTTGAGAACTTACTTTAATTATAACTTTATAACGGAATAGAGTAATTAGCGAGTTCTCATTTTTTGTTGTTTTAGACATTGCCACTGGCAATAAATTTGATTACCAGGCGCAAAGCCTTTTGACCTTTACTTCCAGTGTAACCGGAAGTGCAGGTTGGCGTAGCGGTACTTTCCTCGCCTTCAACCGCTGTGACCCAGGTTCGAATCCCGGCCGGGCTAATTTGTGGATTAGGTTTTTTACAGTCCCAACCTGATTCCGTGGGTTTTCCCCAGAATATTCTTCTGGGCTTTTCCTCCCACCTCTAAAATTGTAATTTCTTCTCATTTACTTCTCTCTACAGGTTTCTTCAGGCTTTCGAGCTTACAGCGCCTGTGGCGCTATTTGGGGAATCCTTGGTTTCAGTACCAGAAGTAATAAATAAATAAATAAAAATAAATAAATAAATAATTAAATATACATTGAAACTTGAAAACGGAAGCATTTTACTACAGTTTGCAACTAATTAGTGAGGAATGTCCAACACAAACATAGGCATGATGACGTAATTACATGGAAGGGCGACCTCTAGCGGTACGTCAAAAGATAGATGGAATTTTTGAACTTAAAAACCATTCGTTACAATTTTACAAAATTGCCTCTACCGTAGATATTCTTTGTACAACCTCAAAGAATTTTGCAAGGTTTCAGAATCGTGACATCATCTGAGTGGAAGTTATTGTATGAGAAGTGAAAAAATGATCGCTTTTCTTTCCATGAAATTTAAATTCGTCATTTGATCCGTGTCCACTATGTTCCTACTTCATACGTACAACGTACTTCATACGTACAATGTACTTCATGAACTTTTAACTTTGCACTCTTATCCTCTCTTAACTAAATCAGTATTCATTTTGCGCATTTTAACTTATGATGTTATCAAACCGGAAATTCCATGTATTTCTACATACAATTTCTATACTTACATTTGTCATACTCCAAAAGATGTGTTTTTTTCTCCACAATTAAAAAATTGTACTTCTCAGACATGTCAGAAGGTTAAATTTTCGTGATCCTCTTTCTGTTACGATATTCACAAGTACACTGGGCACGTTCCTATGAAATTGTTGCCTGATCATCCTGCGTTTGTAACTCAACAAACGCATATATCTCTAATTTAGATCTGTACTTCCAAATGTTATGTTAAATGTAATGGAAAATTGCAAAATATGAACTTGATTGATTGCAGTGGTAATTAAAAAAATACATATATATATACTGAACTACATATATACATGTACATGTACTAGGGTAAAAAAAGACAATATGTCGTGTTTTGTTTCGGACGTTACATGATGTTAACATCTCAATCAGATCATCAATTTCTACAAACTTTGCTAAAGTTGTATCTGTTTGCTTTGTTATTTTTGACAAAACCACATCAGTACAGTCACAGTACCTCATGTAATAATTGAAAAAGTGCGATCAATTTTGGCATAAAACTCTTACAAAAACTTGATATTAACGGTAACTGATGGGGCAATTCCACGGTTAGTTTCGTTACATTTTAAGCAATGTAACACCACTGTTTGAACGCTTATTTCAACATGAGTGGCTATCAATTCTCCATTTTTGCAATATTACTACATCTTTATAAGTACTGTGACCTATAACACAATCACTGAAAAAATTATTTTAAAATGTTTTGTGAGTGTAATGAGATATGCAATCTTGGTGAGTTACATGTACATTACGAAATACGGACAAGGAACAAAATTACGCGTCTTTGCATAAAAAGTTTCCTCAAATGGAATACAGCTGAAATAAAGGATAGTTTTCTGTAATTAGCAATGGTGATTGCCACCAAAATAGGACCGAGCACTTTGATTGACTAAGAATCAGGAGCATATGAATATCAGTATTATACCTGACCTCTCAGCGCGGTGCAGTGCAACCTTCCCACGAGTGTCATATTTCACTGATGTACGTGGACTTGCGTGGTGAATGTCTCAACGGCACTATGCAACACAACCTGGAGCAAATCAATTGCTTGAGGGGTCGAAAGATAATTCCTGGGTCGTTTGGAACATATTTTTTTATTCGAAAAACAAGATTTGGATATTATATTTTCTATTTTACCAAGTGTGGAGTTTAATATCTTACTGAAAATCGTTCAAAAAAGAGTGAGAATAAAGAAGCGTGCATTGATCAAGCATTTTGTTGTGAACTGTATCCCCACTCTCATAATGGATGCTTCCGCAGCGATTTAGCCGGGTTATCATTGGCCCTCTCTATGGAAAAATAATGCATATTATGTATTTCGCTGGGTGCATAAATGAATAACCATCCAAATTCATATTAGTCAAGTCGTTAGACCTGTTGGATGCATGCCGGATGTAAACACAATACACAGCGCTAACAAGCACTTTGCTACTAAATATTGGCGGACACAATTTGTTCATGTGCCAGCCATGACTGCAGACAGTGAAATCGGAGCATACAACCGCGGAGCTATAAGAGCCTCTCCATAAACTCTTGCATTTTGTGTTTCCGCACACTCAATAGGCCTTTTACACACACAAAAACATGACAACACAAATTTTGTGCAATTAGACATAATTTGTTTTCTGTTATAAAGCATAAAATACTTCCTTATAGTGAAAATAAATTGGTAACCAGCCCAAATACAATGCTACATGTATGTTGCTTGTGACTGATTCTCATCTCATTTTTGCTCAGCACACAAGATTACTAAGCAATAGGCCCCTAGTCTTCTTGATTAACAGAGTCTCCATGAAGTTGGTCCCCACTTGCTGTTTGAAAAGGAGCTATCGTGACTATTGGCATTTAACTTCAGGCTGGATTTCTACTTATGACGGTGAAACTTATGACGGGACACACTGTGCATATTCTACCATAGTGTTTAGAAATAAAGCTTACCTTCTTTTGTTAGTTTAGTCAGGAGTATTCTCAGACATTCATACTTTTTAGCATTTGCAGCTTCATGAAGTGGGGTCCATCCCCGATTATCATGAATGTTGACACTAGCCCCTCTACCAATCAGCTCTCTCAGAACATTAACATTTCCTGTATGGACGGCTGCACCTACGGTCGAGCAACGATCAGAATAGGCCTCTGTGAAATCCATTTTCAACTGGATACAGTGCTCAACATCCTACACACAGACATCAAGAGCACAAAACCCTGCAAAACAAAGTCAGGCCAACTTTAAATTTGTTTGCAGGACAGAGTGTATGTGCACTTCAAAACGTGTGACACCTCTCCACAGAAGAGTTTTTAAGTTATCATTTGGCTAAGAAAAAAAACAGTCTGGGAAAAAAATCAGCCAAGGCTGCAATAGATCTCCCTAAGGGGTGCTCATGATGCTCATGACATCAAAAATTCGCAAATAGACGAATTTCCAAAGTCATGAGCAATATAAGCTGGAGTTACTCAAGCTAGTGCTTACCCACTTGCTTTTGTTCTGAAATGACTTTTTGCAATCTCCTCGTAATTTCATTAATTTTAGTTTTTAAGATTTCCCAAAGAACTTCTTGGCTTTTCCGCAATTTTTTTGGGGGGAGGGGGGGGGGCCTTTATTTTTTTTATTTTTGGGACCCAAATCCCATAGACTTTGTACACATTTTATTCCAGCCCCCACTTTTGCCAATGAAACTTACATAGGCAAAGACCTTATGAAGAAGATTGACATCATCATGATGTCACCATGGGTAACGTGACTTCATCTTAAATGTGCATATAAGTCCTATAGAAGGCTATATCTAGAGAACTGTATGCAAGTTGGACCGATTGGATTGAAACTTGGTATGTAGGTAGACCGGTATGTGTTAAATCTAAATGTTGAGGTGACATCATGAGGATGTCATCCTGTTTGTAGAGTTTTGAATTTTGAAGATTATCACCATATCTCTTGAACCCAACATGCTAAATTCAAAATTCTTTTTGTATAAGGTTTATAAGGTCAAAGGTATCTTTTTGAAAAATGTGTGACATTGTGATGACGTCATCAAAAATGCGATTTTTCAAATCACATATAAGGGTAAGTTTGATTGTCTTGAAACTTGGTGGGCAGGTAGATACTGTTTTTTATATGCAATTGCCGAATGATGTCATAATGATGTTTTCAACCTTTTACATTTTCTTCTACTAGTTATCAAAATTTGACCTAAAATGCAATCAAATTGATCACTTCAAACTAGGGAAGGACAAAGACCCCATGGTCAGGTTGGGCCCTAGACAATGGTCTTGTGATGTCATCTTAACGGTGTATATTTCAAAATGTTATCTTATATTATAGAGAACTGTAAGTCCGATTGGGTTGGAACTTGGTATGAACATAGACAGGGACGTGTTACAGCCAAAAACTGGATGATATCATGATGACATCATCATGGGTTCCGATGCAACATCATATAGGTGCATATTTTAAAGTTCTACCTAGAGAACCACAAGAACAGCTAAATAAGCCATGCCGTACATTTATATTCAAACCACAAAAGGCATGAACTCACACACAAAAATGTGAAAAAGCCCTATATATTCTGTTCTTCAAACAGACATGGAGATTTAGCTTAAAATTGATTTGTGTATTACATGACAATGGAACAAAGGGTGTTTTTTTTTTGCATTCACTGAATAATTGCACATGCGCTGCTGCCAACCATAACTTTATCCATAGTTTTCCAAACTATGGTTTAGTACATGTCATTGCATTAATCATATACGTCTGCGGGAAAAACCTGCAAGTTCCTGCACAAAATCAGGGCAAAGAGCTTTGACATATAGCCAGACTTGCAGCAAATCTGTTATTTCAGCATCAAAAATCGTTTCGCATTTCCAGTACCAGTACACTCTTTGGCGGTGATTTTATCCAGTACATTGGAAACTAAGGCCTTTCTGCTGAGTTGTACCGGTGTCACATGAAAATCCGACCCCTATTTCCCTATTATTGGTTGATCCCTCGCACGTGACAGGTCACTCTCACAAAACGATCCTAAAAATAGCATAGTATCGTACTCACGCGTGCGCAGTACTACCAATGAGTCCACATTTCATGGAGTCGGATATTCACACTACACCGGTATGTAACAACAACAAAATAGCTTTTTGGCAAATTCTATAAAAGATAATATCTTTAATACTTTTTCCTTATCTTTCAAATTTTCCTGCACTGTGTCTGCCACAGGTACCGGTAGCATTTATCTTTTAACATTTATATGGAATGTACAACATTTGCTCTTGCTACATTTTTCAGTAGTAACGTTTAGGCCAAAAAAAAATACTCGGTCTCTGGTCAGCGCGCTCGTCGATTTTAATCATGCGCATCAACCTTTTTTTTTTCCAATTAACACGGAAGCTACAACAGCGCCCTCTATTTCCTCACCTCCTCAAACTTGTGTACCAAGGAGCACCAAGGAATGGGGAAATTGCACCAAGGCAAATGATGAAGGGCACCAAGGCAAATTATGGAGGACACCAATGTATAATGAGGACACAAAAAAGCAAAATAGTACCCACCTCGTCTGTACAATTCAAGCCACCAAAAAAAACACACACAAAAAACGTGTCGCCGCATCAATTCCGGAACTTCGGTCTGACCAGAGACCGATTTTTCTTTTTTTTGGCCTTAACTAAAGGTTTGCCATCTCCGGCTAAATATCTGCCTACTCGTATGTGTAATCAATTGCAAAGAAAATGCGGAAAAACTAATTATGAAAATTTAAGAGCAACTTTTGAAAAACAAGCAAATTTTCCTCAAGGCTGGTCAGCCGACCAAGCATTGGACAAAACCCAATTTTCTTGAAAATGTCAGCACACCAGGAGCCACGATTTTATGAACTTCTGAAAGATTCCCATATCTGGCCATCACTATCAGTATCAGCCATCAGAAAGAGATAATAATTAATAGGCTTATGTTCTAAAAAGTCAAAATTAGCACTCATTACGTGTTGGGCCTTGAGCCCAATACCTATTGTCTTTGTAAGATTTTACTCAGTAAAATCTTACAAAAACAATAGGTACATGTATTGGGCTCAATCTCTTTCTGATGGCTGATACTGATAATGATGGCCAGGTTTGTATTCTTCTCAGCATATTCTCAGGAATTCGTTTCCGGAACTGTTTGGAGAAATGGAAACATATATGAACTTCATTTGTCAATACATGAATGCCCAATCCACCGCAGATGGTCTTTTTTTGTAATTACGTCATCATGACGTCATCATGGGTCAAGTGACGTGACTCGAAAGTTTAATAAATTTAATCTTTGAAATTCCATATAAATCAACTGTGAGAGACAGGAACCTGAAATTTGCAGGAATCGACATGGTAATACATGATCTTCATTTTATCCTGTGCGCGTAAAATCACGTGACCCTTTCTTCCGGTCGAAACCGGAAGTGCCTAATAATTTGAAAGTGGAAAAAGATATGAACTTGCTTTTAACGATTTAAGTGTCTGCCTGGATTGACTTTTCCAAAAAAATAATGGGTGACGCCATGAAGTGTTGGAGCGCCCTCTAGCGGCAGGCTAAAAAACGTCAAAAACGCATTTTCACTTGATGTCTGTGGCAAAGTTTGCGGTAATCGCTTCAAAATTAATGTTCATGATGACCATAATGCAGACAACACCTGAGCGCGAACAAAAATTGATTACGTCATCAGACCGGAAGTTACAATAAAAAGACCTTTAAACCTTAAAAAATTGCTAGAAAATATACCGTGATAGATATAATCAAAATTTGGCTGTATACAGCACAGAAAATATAGCTCTTGAGGTTTCTGGTAATGACGTCACAATGATCTCATCAAGTATCATATTACAAGCAATCAAAGATTTCTAGATTTAATCTTTGAAAAGCAATGTAAAATCAACTGCTACAGATTTGATTTTGTTCTTTATGGCAATCGATACAATATTGCAGGGTCTTCAGTTTTGGTATTAAGTGCAAAATCACGTGACCGTTCCTTCCGGTCGAAACCGGAAGTGCCTTATTATTTGAAATTGGCAGAAGATGCGAACTTGCTTTCAACGATGTGAGTGTCTGCCTAGGCAGTACTGTACAAACATATTACAGGTGATGTCATCAAAAGTTAGAGCGCCCTCTAGCGGCAGTTTAAAAAGCGTCGAAAACGCATTATCACTTGATGTATGTGACGAAATTTGCGGTGATCGCTTCAAACCTAACATACATGATGAACTTAATGCAGAAAAGACCTGTGCGTGAAAAAAATTGGATGACGTCATCAGACCGGAAGTTATAAGGAAAAGACCTTTAAACCTTAAACAATTGCTAAAAAATCAACCGTGAGAGATATGTTGATGTATTCGGTTGAGTCCAGAATGAATTAGAATACATCAAATTTATCATTGATATGCTAATGATTGTATGGTTCGATGGTCTAAGCGGGAATTTTGAATAGGTAGTGGTATGTGATGCTAGCGGAGAAACGCGTCACTTCACGCTTGCTAGCAGCAATTATATGCTATTGTAATGGCTAAAGTAATTCTATCTTAAAATACGTTGTTTTAAGAACCTCCCATTATCATTGCTTAGCTAGCCTGAGAGCGGTGGTCAGCATAGGTCAGGGCATACGTTTCCACTTTTTCCAAAAAGGTTTGTGGTTTTTTGTATCTGGCGATCACCAAAAGCAATGGGTTGAATTCACAGTTTGTTATGTTGATATATATCTCGATGTATATCGTGCAAAGTTATCAGTAATAATGATGTGTATTTGAGAAGTTGATGAAACAGTGTAAGCTAATTAAAAGTATTGGTTGCTGCAGCTCGCACAATCCCAAATTAATGAGTAAAGTGTGTTTTGTTTGTGTATGATGATTTAAATGATAAATAATAAAGATGTGGCTATATATAGCAGAGTAAATATAGCTCTGGAGGTTTCTGGCGATGACGTCACAATGACGTAATCAAGTGTCATATTACAAGCAAATAAATATTTCCATATTTAATCTTTGAAAATCAATATGAAATCAACTGCTACAGATTGGATTTTGTTTTTATGGCAATCGATAAAATATTGCAGGGTCTTCATTTTTGGTTTTAAGTGCAAAATCATGTGACCCTTCCTTCCGATCAAAACCGGAAGTGCCTTATTAATTGAAATTGGCAGAAGATGCGAACTTGCTTTCAACGATTTGAGTGTCTGCCTAGGCAGTACTGTACAACAAGTTTACAGGTGAAGTCATCAAATGTTAGAGCGCCCTCTGGCAGCATGTTGAAAAGTCAAACATGGATTTAAACATGCATATTTTGAGTTGATGTGTGTGGCAAAGTTTGCGGTAATCCATGGCCCAACACCGTGTGGTTGTTCCTACAACCTCTAGTTTTGAATTGTTACTGAAAAAAAAATTTTTCAGACCACCCCCGTAGGGTTTGTGCACAGGCATGACAGGGTGAAAAGTGATGGCCAGATTTGGGAATCTTTCCAAATTGGTGATGACCATCATGGGAATCTTGGGGCAAGTTCGCGCAAGGACTATAGTTAACCATTGGTCGACTAACGCTTGCCCGAACTCTGTCTAGTCGACGATGGTTAACTACGCTAGTCGACTATTTGGAACCAACCTACTGGGGTTGGTTGCTTCGCTGGTAACCATAGCCGCGCGTTCATAACGTACAGCAGGGAGCCAGGATCCAGACGTTTTGCAATGACATTTTGACCAGCGTTCGACTAGAGACGTTCGCACTTTGCTATCAGTGCGCAGGCATAAGGTACGTCACAAATCAACCATTACTACTACTACTAGTCGACTAATGGTCCTTGCCCGACATGCCCGAACTTGGCCTAAGTTGAATTTTATTACCATTGCCAAATTATCATATTATTATGGCAGTGTATATTTTGCCGGAGACGGCAAACCTTTAGTAAACGTTAGTTTGCCGGATATGCACTGAACATGCGCAGTTACTGTTTTTTTGTACTTAAACATTTTCCGGTGACAAGTTTTAGTCTGGCTCCATGCCAAAATTATCGTTGTTACCTCGTATTCACAAGATGGGATTCAGACCATTTTATAATTTCGGACTTTATTTCCCTTTGAAAAAAAATTCCTCCAGAGCCACAAATCTGAAAAAGAAAATGTAGGCTTACTCTGCACAAAATGTTTGAGACATGTTAAAATAATAAAAGAAGAATATTCTTATTTATTTGGGGATGAGAAAAAAAAACTTAAAAATGTGGTGCGGTCGGAATCGAACGCGAGTCATCCCGCTTACTAGAACCTTTGCTTAAGTTAACCATTACACCAAACGTGCTACACAACATTTGATGGGAATTTAATACATCTTATAATTCAGCCCTATTTTAAAGAGTACAGCGCCCTCTGTTGATATGGATTGCCGCCGGCAAACCTTTAGTAATCGTTAGTTTGCCGTCATTACCTCCGGCAAAATATCCACTATCTATTATTATTACTATATTAGGCAATGAACACACTTTTTTGTTCCTTGGTGCTGCCTGGGCATGGCATTTACACTGCATCCGCGCTCACTCAGCTCATCAGGACAGAAGCAACAACATACAGGGCGATGCAGGTCAGTGGTAGAAAGGAAAGTGCAGGTCGTCTTTCCCGCCCGCACCCGATTTCACAAACTCTCTGCACCACTACTACTACTAGTGCATGCAATACTACAGTGTAGCTGTACTTACTTGGACCCTACCTCCATGCTTGGACCCTGGCTAGCTAGATCTGCTATCGGTTGGTGACCTCTGCCGCCTTGACCTTGTCATACTCATTGATCTCCATATACACAGACATATGTATATGGAGATCAATGGTCATACTCTACGCGCGCGGTCTTTGATCAGCTGGATCTCAACCTCGTCCCCAGGGTGTCGAACAGTACGCGCCCATCACTACCTGCTCTCTCACCCTGGTATTGGATCATTTCCATGTGCAAGATTTGTGAACACGTATGCAAATGAGCAATAGTCTGGTGCCTGGATATGCGTTACATTAGCGTTTGTTTTTGTATGCGGTGTCTGGGGTAAAAACAGAGTCAATTCGTCGCAGCGCGAGCACGGCGTGAGTTACAAAAACACGATTTTTTAAAATTAAACTGTTACGATTTTATCGAGACAACATGCAGTATCATATTTCATATTAATATGACCATATTGGAAAGGAAATTAGTATTTTCGAGAAGGCATGGACAAATGATCGCGAAAACACGTACTGCACGTTGTGAATAATAACACCAAGTACACGATAAAAATCCATTACTAGCCAATTGCGGTATCGAATCAGGATACAGGAAGAAAGTTTCCTATCCAGGGTTAACTCACGGACAGTACCAGTTCACATTATTTTTCACGAAAATAATGTTTGATCACAGGCTGATGAAAGACTGAACAGCGAACGCAATACAGGCCTGATTTAAACTGATTTTTAAAAATCCGTCAAAACAATTATCGTTTCCTTTTTTAAAGATGTCCGCACAATGCTAAAATAGTAGTGGCGGAGTTGAGAATCTGTATCTGTCCCTGTCCAAAATACAAAGAATAGAAGTCAGGCGCGGATCCAGAGCCGGGGTCGAACCCCCCACCCCGCCCCGCCAATGTGTTCCTTCCTCCATGCTCTGATACACACAGAATAATGTATAGGCTATACAATTATGAAAAATGATAAGATCGGATATAAACATCTAACGGGCCTGACTCCCCCCCCCCCCCCAGTCCGCCAACATTTCTGGATCCGCCCCTAATACCTGTTTCAGGCTACATAATAATAGTGATCATTGTCGCGTAACGACAAGACATGTTTAGCACACGGCCTACGACTAATGAGGCTGCCGTATACAATTTTCCAAACAAATGAAAACAGTTGATTCATTATTGCCCGAAATATCGACTTCGATTCTGTTCGCCCGTGGAGCCAAAACAGATGCACACAGCAATGCTCCGAGTTTCTCCACCTATTATTAAGACAAATTGTTTTTGAGGAGAATTCCAAGGAAGCATGATGGCCGAGTGGTTAGATTCGTAGTCCACGAATCGCGGAGCCCGGTATCGAATCCCGTCGGTGTCTTTTTGCTTTTCAACGCACGCGTTCCATTCAGTCATTATAAGATGTTTAATTTCCCGTCGTAAAATACCAACGGTACCTTAGCTTAATCGGTAAGCTCTGCGGCTGGTACTGTCCGTGAGTTCCAGGTTGGCGCCTTCGTACAGGTTCAGGGCATGTGGTCCACTCGGAGGATCAGGGCTTAGGGGCCGCCCTGTTCCTCCCTTAGCTCTTTGCTTTTACATGGTGCCTGGCCCTCCGGGGTTATATGGATGGACAGGGAAGGAAGTGTGTATTGGCCGGGACACCCGAGAGCCCAGAAGAGAACTAAGGGGTTGGCTGGGGCATTGTTATGGCTCAGACCGACCCCTGAAAGCTTGGCTAGCACATAGCTTTTTTTTTTTTTTTATCTCTATTTTTTTTTCAACTTTGGTTAAGTTTGATATTTACAGCCGCTCGGCAGGTCTACGGTAGTATCCAAAACTAAACCAAGGTCTGTGTCATAAATCAATAAATATTTAGCAATTGACTATTGGCCTAATCAAAACGAAGTTTCGTTCGATCACTATGACTATACCATTATTCATGGCTCTATTTCCAATTTACGTATAAAGAAACGCCATGCAATAACATACCGGGGAAAATAAGGATGTACATATATAATATAACATCTTTCAAAAAACGTTTCTTTAATTGCGAACATGTCAAACAAATATAGTAATTCGCAAAACCCCACCCCAGCAAAAATGACTATAGATCCGCCTCTGACACATAATAAGTAGCGGCCGCTGTACAAAAAAAAAAAAATTCACACGTACGAAAAACTTTATTCAGACTTATTGAGTGGTACAACCCTTCTTCCGCAATAAGTGGCATTTTGACACCTTGAAATAATTCCGATGACAAATATAAACTACCCGCCAAAAGTGCGGAACACAACAGGCGACATGGGCGGAAGCAGGAATGTTCGCAGGATGGGGAGGTGGAGTTCCTCCTAAAAAACAAAAAACATGTGAAATGTAGACAGGTTTGTTTTCTCCGGACATTTTTTTACCTCCGAAAATCAATGGAGTGGAGGGAAGGGGGACGCGGGGAGGCTTGCACCATACTTTCAATTGTTGGGGCACCGTTCAAAATTTAACCAGTGGCGCACCCAGGATTTGGCTGGGGTCTCACAATTTTTGGTTAGATTTTTTTTTAAATTAATATCTTTTCAAACAAATTTGCTCAAATGTTTTGATTATTATTATTTATTATTTTTTTGGGGGGAGGGGGCGCTATTTTTTTGACGTTGGTGGCGCCACTTACACCACTATTATACTACTCGAAAATAGGCCACATACAAAATCACCAAGTTTAAATCTTGGAACTACCAAAAAAATTTAAAAAAAAAACAAAACCTCTCTTTTCAGAAAAAAAAAATCACAATTTTGAAAAATCACGTGGGCTCTTTATACCAACTTTTATATAAATGTCATACTTCATGGCAATTTGTCCGTGACGATGCAGTAGGCTATTTCGATGATCTCTAAAAAAAGAAAAAAAAAGATGCCGCGTTGTTTGATATTAACCGATATTCTTATCACCGATTTTACCCACCTCAGGGCAGTGGCAAAGCAGGAGGGGGGGGGGGGTTGCACAGTGGCAAATTGCAATGGGCTACATTCTAAGAGCGTGCCATGTCGGACGCGCGATGCAAAATCATGGGGCCCGTATTGGCTTTCGGAAAAAAGTGTGTCACGTCAGTCGGCAGCGATGAAAAGCGCCACCTACTGTCCGACACTGTCCATAAGTTTTAACAGTGCCCCTATGGGTGCATACCTGCAAATAAACTCCCATAGACACTAGTGCTAAATGCCCGTACTTCAAAATTCTTTTAAAAATACTCAAAACTCTCACAGGTATTCAAGCTGCACAGAAAAATGATGATCAATGTGTCATCTTTCAATTTCTTTTCAATTTATGGTGGGTTGACCATTGACTTTTCGAGATATTTTCACGCAAAGAAGACGACCCCTATTTTCCCCAAAGCGGAAAAGTAGCCATCTTGAAAAACGATCCCTCCACAACATGGCAAAATAGCGCCACTTTCGAGCCCAATAGCATCCAAAATGCTCAGAATTGGAAGCCCCAAGTCCGGGCCAGAGGTTCACTACCATATCTCTTCAATTCCCCAATTTTACGGCGCTCAGAACTCTCTAATATAGAATATTTTGAGGGTATAACTTTTATTCATGAGCTTGGCGGATCGATTTACCGGTGTGTACCCTATAATAGCAGGCAACTTTTAAATTTTAACACAAAATCACATTCAGGACAAGCAGAATATCTCCAAAGTCAATATTTTGAAAAAAAAAATGAAAGAAAAATATTATCCGAGGTCGATATTAAGCCCGAAAATAGTGATTGTTTTGCCCCTGCTAAGCTGTAGAGCGCCCCCAGCGACAATAAATTGAGTTCCAGCTACTTTAAAGCTCAAAATGCCCCCCCCCCCCCCTTTTCAACTATCAATTGTTGTAATCGGGTGATAGCCTACTGCTCCCTTATGATTTGGAAGCATCCGTTACGGAAAAAACCCTTGTTGATACCTTTAAAACACTTTTTCCCCCTCCCCGTAGGTTCCGCCCACTGAAAAGACCACTGCCGCGGCACAGCGCATGCGCGAAACGGCCATCTTTGTGATTCTTTATAATAGCAGGCAACTTTTAAATTTTAACACAAAATCACATTCAGGACAAGCAGAATATCTCCAAAGTCAATATTTTGAAAAAAAAAATGAAAGAAAAATATTATCCGAGGTCGATATTAAGCCCGAAAATAGTGATTGTTTTGCCCCTGCTAAGCTGTAGAGCGCCCCCAGCGACAATAAATTGAGTTCCAGCTACTTTAAAGCTCAAAATGCCCCCCCCCCCCCCTTTTCAACTATCAATTGTTGTAATCGGGTGATAGCCTACTGCTCCCTTATGATTTGGAAGCATCCGTTACGGAAAAAACCCTTGTTGATACCTTTAAAACACTTTTTTCCCCCTCCCCGTAGGTTCCGCCCACTGAAAAGACCACTGCCGCGGCACAGCGCATGCGCGAAACGGCCATCTTTGTGATTCTTTATAGGGTGCATACCTGCAAATAAACTCCCATAGACACTAGTGCTAAATGCCCGTACTTCAAAATTCTTTTAAAAATACTCAAAACTCTCACAGGTATTCAAGCTGCACAGAAAAATGATGATCAATGTGTCATCTTTCAATTTCTTTTCAATTTATGGTGGGTTGACCATTGACTTTTCGAGATATTTTCACGCAAAGAAGACGACCCCTATTTTCCCCAAAGCGGAAAAGTAGCCATCTTGAAAAACGATCCCTCCACAACATGGCAAAATAGCGCCACTTTCGAGCCCAATAGCATCCAAAATGCTCAGAATTGGAAGCCCCAAGTCCGGGCCAGAGGTTCACTACCATATCTCTTCAATTCCCCAATTTTACGGCGCTCAGAACTCTCTAATATAGAATATTTTGAGGGTATAACTTTTATTCATGAGCTTGGCGGATCGATTTACCGGTGTGTACCCTATAATAGCAGGCAACTTTTAAATTTTAACACAAAATCACATTCAGGACAAGCAGAATATCTCCAAA